AAATTTTGGTCAAAACATTCTTTATAAATTTCAACCTATATACAAACAAAATTTTTTAACCATGTGTAACATACGGTATTCATAGCATAGTATACACAACCGAATATCATCTTAGAATTTTCACGGATTCATATAATTTAATGTTTGATTCTAATAACGCTTTAGGTTGCATTAGCTTTATAGTAGTTCACTCAGATGAAGCAAATATTCTGTACGTGTACATATTCAAAGAAAATTTATCTTTGAATATTTCAAATTTTTTTTTTTTGAGTATAATCTGGGATTATCAATTATCTTATTAAGGTTTTTGTGTGGAAAAATTTACATTTTTTACTTATGCATTCAATTCCCACATAAACACATTACAATTCTATACATAATCTTTTAGAATATAGAACATGCAAAAGAGAGTGAAATGATGAAAAAATTTTTTTAACCGCTGAAGTTAATTTTCAAGTTTCTGTTCTTCAATCAACCTTCTTACCTGCGATTGTGTCATGTTTGACTTCAATTAACTGAGATTTCTTACTTTCGATCATTGATTTTACGTTTCTTCTTTTTCAAATGTGAAGCAAATAGGTTGTATTTATACTAGTTTTACGTGATATTGCAATGGCTGGACAGTTAATGTTCAAACACTTTGGTTCCAATTGGGCTTGAAGCAATTTTTATTTCAATAACTTTTATATTTTAAATAATTTTCTTTTTCTCTTTCCTTCCTTCTTGATTTGCCGCATTTTATTTAAAAAAAACACTTGATGTCTTCCTATTTGTATTTTATAATCCTTTTCCTTTTGAAATGCGTGTCAAAAATTGTGTTGTTCTTTCAAATGTATAATTATTAACTATTCGCAAGTTTTAATGCGCCCTCCCTTGCATCATCGTTATATCCGACAAAGTAAAAAATTAAATATATAATATGTACATATTATGTACATACAGTTTTCATAAATTTTGAAGTCGCAAATCGTAGCTGTTTTCTTGGAATTGTTTTTCTGCATTTGTTTTGTACGTATTGGAACCAAGAGATTCGATTCGGGTTCGGTTCAACCATGTTGAATTCATTTCGTAATTGTAAAAAACATGTAAAAAACAAATAATATAATTAGTTTTTGTCTCTGCAAAGATTGAGTAGCTATTTTAAGTTTAGAGAGGGAGAGTTTTTCAAAAGGCGTGATTGACCATGTATATAAGATAAATCTTACCAAGGGAATTTCTAAGAAGTTTAAAAAAAATATTTGCCGTAAAAAATTGAAGATTTTGGAGAAATTTTTCGAACGATTTGCCTCCGCATGACAAAATGGAATTGTTTTTTTTCTTGTTAAAATCACTCCATACCGGAATTGAAAGTTGTCAATTCAAGCTAGGCGCTAATCCCTCATTTCAATATCGTACCAATTTCAATACCGCCCAGAAAAAAAATCAAAGTTTATCACTGCCAAATTTTAAGAAAATTTTACAACTAAATTTAATTATAAAATTCCTTGGCTTTCCCTTGTATGCTCTTACTGTAATTTCGTATATCCTACTGTATAATGCGTAAATCTATACAGTACATTGTATAGATTTACGCATTCTATGTAGTCTCAGCCGAAAATTTCGAATTTATAAACCAATGGAGATAGATTCAATATTTTCCTATTATATTTTTGGTAACCCAAAAATTCTAGTAGAAAATAAATCGAGCTCTTGAGGCGCGCATACCTTCTGTTTGAAAATAAATTTAAAATTCATAGCCCTCTCAATTATTTTTGATATTGCAATTTAATCTCTTAACTTAAAGGAATTAGAATTTTTGAACAAATTAAAAAAAAATTCAAATTTATATAAAAAAATATGCGGTAAATATTTTTTTTTTAATTTTTATTATTTTTAATACCCCGATTAAGATTTCCTTTTTTATGAAAATTTCTGATAATATAAGTAGGTACACATTAGGGGCAAAAAAAATCAAAAATATAAACAAGAGGCAACATTCAGACATCAGTATTTATCATACTACAACAAGACCTTAAATTCATGTTGATATTGATGATGATGATAGTGACGAGAGTCGTGTTCTGGACCAACCCACTTCAAAAATAATAGATAAAAATAATAGATTTTTTGTTGTTATTTTGTTATTTTTTTCCCTCTGTATGATTGCATTTTTTTCAAACACAACCCATCACAACACACGATTTTCCCATTTATATTTTTTCCTTATTCTACCAGGCAAATACATATGCAGGCACACACACATAAATAAGAATACACTGAATAGATGAACACTATACAAATTAATTTCTTTCGTTTGTTTTTTTTTTCAACGTTATTGCGCAAAAACTTCCAAAACAGAGAAAACAGAAACAACAAAATAACTACTGGGGGTTTTTTTATTAAAAATAAAAAAAAAAGAAAAAAATCTCACATGAACATTTTTTTCTTGTTTTTGTTGCTTCTGGCGTTTTTCCCAATGGTGGAAAATAAAATTTTCCACAATTTACACACATAAAAAATTTTTCTTTTTATATTTATATATTTATGTATATGTGTACTTGTGCATTAACAGAAAAAATATACATGTATAAAGCACGCTGCTTATATTATATTCTACTAGACATCTGAACATTCAGCAGAAAATAGAGAGCAAGAGAAGGACAAAGAGAGAGAGGAAGAACAAAAAATTGGTGTATAAAAGCTTTTATCGTTAATTTTTCTTTTTTATTCTATTTGAAAAAAAAAAGGTCAAATTTTTCAAAAATCCCTAATTTTGAATTATTTTTCGACCATTGACCCCCTTCTTCTTCATGTGCAATATTTAATTTTTTTTTGGCTCTTTGGCAATCGTACAATGGTACAATCAGTTTTAGTGCAAAATTTAAAAGCGGGTACTAATATAGCCAAGCTTACACAATTGCTTTGTTGCTTTTCGTTATATCGAAAAATTTTGAGGTATCGAATCAACAACCCTCTGCCTTTTCCTTCATAAAAGCTCCTCCCCCCTCCGCCCCCTTCTTATTTTAAAAACACGCTCTCAATTAAATTTTAATAATTCCTCTTTTTTTTTGGGTTGTTATGAAGTGATTTTATGAATATTTTGCATTTTTACTATTTTGAAAATTTTGTCACAATTTCAATATTTACATTACAAATTAACTTAAAAGAAATTTCTCGCGCTTTTCTACAAAATTAGAAGAGAATTTAAAAATCAATGTCCACCACATCCCAGCACTCATCATTAGATGCTGTCGCGAAAAAATTTTTCTACTGTTTTTCTTTTTTTTTTTGTTCTTTCCATAAAACCGTCAGATTATATAGAAGAAATTTTTCTATGTATAAATAGAATTAATATTGAAAGGAAAGAAAAAAGTAGATCGCTAACTACATTTTTGTTTCTACATTACTACTACACCATTGTCGCAATTCGTATATGTTTGTGTGTATGTACAAATACATTGTATACGTATATACATATATGTATTTAATAAGTAAACAAATTGTTTACAAGATGTTTTTTTTTTGTTTTATTTTTTGAAGAAAATCTTTTTTTCTGCGTTTTCATCCATATTCTACACAGAATTTTCTATAGATATGAATTTTAATTTTAAAATAAATGAAACATGTTTTTGTGTGCGTGTATGTTATGTATTAAATATAAAGCAATCGCTTACTATTCAATTACCATAAAGCGTGTGGCGCTTGCTACATAGCTATATTTACTTTGACTACATTTGAAAATTTTTCTATATTATAAATTTATAATTATTATAATGTATGAATCAGTGTTGCCAACTCTGTTCTGCTCCCATTTATTTAAATGGCATAAAAGTTCCCATTTATACCCTTTTCCAATTTCTATTTTTGCTCATATAATTTCCCTTTAAAAATTTTTTTATTCATACACATACATCTAGCATTGTAATTAAATAAAATATAAATTTAATCATTTAACAAAATAAAAATATTGCATTTATTCAATTTCAAATTGTAACGTAAGTAATAAACTGACTAGGACTTTTTATTTTTGCTCAAGTGCCAAAAATGCATTTGGTCAAAAATAAATAGCCTTATTATTTATTTTAACGCTCTTAAATTCTTCCGCAGAAAGAAAACATTATTAAATCAGTTCCATACTTATATTTTATCTCAAAAATTTTGATTTGAAATAAGAATTATAGTAAAAAAGACAATAACTTAAGATAAGAAAAAAATGAAATTAAAATAAGTAAATTAAAGAAAATAAAAATGATAAAAAAGTTTCCAATGGGATTTTTTTGGCCTTTTACCCTTCAAGGTTTCAAAATTCCCAAAAAAGGGGAAATTTCCCACGATTTGACAACACTGAGAGGAATAAAATATAGCAAAATGTTATGTGTAGTAGAAAATTGTCATGAGTTTTTCTTGTCTTTCTCCCTTTTTATATCATGTAAAAGTTTGTGTTAAATTTAACATGGTTTTTTATCTAGAATAACATTTTCATATTTACAATTTTTTTTTATATTTTATTACAATATTTTAAATATTGTTAAAGCGAAACCATTTAAAATGCAATTTAAAGAAATAATTGAATGGGGCTAGATAGAGTATTTCGAGACCTTTTTTCTCGGCGATTTCCAAAAATATTGCAACCATATCTGGTGCATTGGCTTAATTTTTTGACAGAATTACCTCAGGACGCATCTTGAAAGCAACAGATAGAAATCTTTAAAACTCCCACGAAGCCCTTATACGCGTGAGTTATCAGTACCAGTGTTCTAATCTTGCTCATTTATAATACCGATTTGCATGCAGTATAGTTCCTACATTACAAAAAGGTATGGCAAATTTCCAGTACTCTCTATGAATATATGTTTTTGGGGTGTTACAAAACGATATTTTTACAAAACTTAACACTTACCTGGCAATATAAGAGTTTTTCGGAGCTGATATATTTTTTTTTAATATTAACAAATTACTACAAAGAAATATATATTTTTTAAAAAAAACATAATTAAATTTACTTATTTTATTGATTTCAGGCAAACAAAATGGGTTTGTCACCGTTTTTTTGTCATAATGGTGATCCTTTAACGACACCTCCACCTGCACACTGTGGAATACCTCCTTATCAGCTGGATCCTAAAACAATGGGTAAGTTTTAAACCCTTTTTAACCTATTAAATTGGTTTTTTTTTGTATATTTTTTGCCATTATTTTTAAAGCACTATTTCGAAAAATATCCAATTTTTTTTAGTTTAAAAATAGGTTTACGAGTAAAATTAATTAGATTCGTTTTTGTTCTCTTTTCGAGTTCCGTTTTTAATTTTTTTTTAACGAAATCCTATATTTAAAAAAGATTCAAATTGGAAGGATAATTAACATAAAATTCATTAACATATTACAAAATTTCTCATTTCAACGATTATGAATACACAATACGTATATTGGAAAGAGAGTCAGTCAAACTCAAATTTTGCAGCTATTACCAATATTCCAAGATATATAACAATACTATCAAGAACAATGGTAGATATGCTCAAATGAAACCTAAGTCAACGTAATATACGATCTACTTTTAAGCTGAGTACGAAATTGTTATATTAATATTTATAAACACATTTACTTGGAGAACTAATGTTATAGATTATAAAGGAAAACTTGTTCTCTGCCTCTCACATTTTTCCAAAAAATCCCAATTTCTTCATTCTTATAATTTAACAAAAAATGCCTTTTGATTTTTATTAGGTATACTTAATGCTGATTTATCAACATTAGTCCCCGAGGATATTTAGATCTCAGATCTCCAAAAAAAAACTTTTACCTAAAAAAATTATGGAAATCTTATGAGTTTTTTTAATAATGTGCATTAAGATTTTCAATGTCCATCTTTTATGAAAACTTATTATTTTCTTCTTTGTTTTTTTACCTCAATAGAGGGGGCTGGGCATTATTAAAAAACTAAAAAATTATATAAATCTCTTTTAAATCTCAATATAATGATATTTGCAAGGAAAATTATAATCTGTATCTCATATTTTTTTTTAATAAAAAAATTATCGTATTTTATGGGTTATTAATAATAATAAGAGATTGTAGATTATTCAAGGGAGATATGGGCAGAGGAATTCCCCCTCCCCCTCCGAATACTGTAGCTTGCCATGGTTTATTACTACTCCGGTCCCAAGTAAATACCCGGAAACATGAACTCGAGCTCCGCAACACTGAAAAAGCCCCGCCCAAACCATCTGCACCTTCTAGCGTCCAGAACAGAACGGTTACACAGAATATGTTCGGCCGACTCCTTATCACGCACATAGAACCTACACAAGATGAAATCCTATGTTTCCAGTTTGTGCAAGTAATATTTCACCGGAAAATGCCCAGTGAAGAATCCAGCCATTACATGAGCCCTGTTTCGATCCATCCCAAGCAGCTCTGAGTCTCCCAGCGAAGATTCGATTCTTCCTTTAGGGGAATGCCAAATCTGCCCCTAATGGCACACGTTGGCATTCCAGGGGACGGGCCGAACCAAGTGGATCTCAGATCCCCTCTGCATCAACTCGTCAGCGATCTAGTTGTCCCTGTGCCCGCTGTGTCCCGGCACCCAAATCAGCGTCACTCTATTTATTGATACCAGCTTTAAACTAGCTTGGATGTAATCCAAGCCGATCGGAGTGCCAGCAACACCGCTCTGCTGTCAGAGCACATAGATGGTGCGATTTTTATATTCCCTTTATAAGTTCACTTTCAGGCATATCTTTATTGCATGTATTTCAGTTTCAAACCTTGAGCCCGTTTGGACCCATCTGTGGACCAAACACCAGAATCAGTCCCAAGAATTGGACCATCTTTGCCCTACATGTGTCGACGTCCAATTGCTATTCGGAGAATGGAGTCACTCTCGACGAAAGCCCTATGAGTATCTGGATGAGCCCTATGGTAAATTGTAGAAGGGGCCGTCCGTGTTGCCCCGGTAACTCCCAAATAAGCCAGCCCTTCAAGTTTTCTAGCTTTACCATGGACAAGATCTAGCAAGGGCCGTGTATAGCCAAAGTGCTTCCCTAGCATTATAGCCCAAAGTCTTGCCAATAAAGCTCCTACGCGTCCCAAAGGTCGCCGCTAGTCTTTCGAACATATTGCCTATATGACTATTTCAGTAGAGGTTGGTCTAGGGTTACCTTAAAGTACTTAACTTCCCTGGAGTACGAAATACATTCGCCAAACAAAGTGGGATTCGTTAGTCACTCGCTACTCTTTCGTTTTATGAAGGCAACAAGAATGCTCTTTTCGGGATGTATATTTAACACCACGCTTTTGCACCTTCTTCCCAAAACCTTTAGATTTTGTTACACAAGGTCGGAGATCGTGCTCTTAAAATTGCCTTAGGGCAATGATGAAGGCATACACCACAATGGACCAGAGAAAGAACACCGCTCTGTGCGCACCCTTTGACATAGAAGTCTCATTTAAAACATGCCACTCATTTGGTAGTGAGTTCAGTGCGTAGAGTGTTGTCAAGAAATTAAGGCGTTTAAAAATGTTGGTCTATTGCATTCATTCGTAATTTCTAATTTATTACTATATATAGATTCAAAAAGCACTTACCTCTCTTATTTATATCGTTGCCCCCCCAGACGGTGTCGTGGGCATTTGCATCATTTCGTGTTATCAGTTGGAAGTTCTTCCTTCCACAAAAGTCCACTTGGTCCTACAATTGTTCGTCTGAGTGGTCACTGTCTCCCCGGAAATAGGATAAACATGAAACAAACTCTATCACTTTCACCACTGCAGCCACCTGATCCTTAGAGCAGTAGTTTGGAATGGGGAGGTATTTTAGTTCTATACTAAACAAGATACAGACGCAGGCCTACTCTCATTTGTATTATCATATAATAACTCACCTATATAAGGCTCTTGGATGAGGCAATGTCGGGGTGATCCTGCATCTGTAGCTACTCTTGCTTGATGTAGATTTACTTGGATACACCTTACAGCCATGCTAGTTATTCTGGCTTTTGTCTATGGGCACGGGCCCTTCTCGTGGGCCCTCTCCTATGTTTCACCTTCTCACGCTCATGAGTAGGCGGCCGCTTTGCCGCCGCAGGTGCAAATCACATCCCTCCAGCAGTGATTTTGAAAACAGTTTCGGGCTTCCTAATAAGCTGCTGCGTTGGTCTTTAGTTTCTACTATAGAATCATCTACGGAGAAGGTGATCGAGCCCCCCGTTCCAGAGACTTTTTTGTCCGTTCATTGAACTCTTTTGGATATGGTTGGTCGTAACATCTACTCCGCAGGCTCTCAGCTTCTCCAGCCGTTCTTCCTCGTACTTGCGGGCACCAGAGAAATATTGCTTTTTTCTTCTTAAGTCTAGCCTTTTGAGCTCCAAATAGGTTTGTTGCATAATTGATCACAAAGGATTCTGGTTTTCCGTTTTCATCACAGGCGCGGTTTCCTCTGCAGACGTGAGAAGAAGTTCGTCCGCTGCGTCAGCAGGGACAAGCTCTGGTTCTGCACACCCTTAAGCCACCATGTCGTTATACAGGGAGATTCGCTTCTTGAAAATGTCAACTGCTTTTCAAGGTGACTATTGTGATCAAAAACTAGTAATATGTAGTTCACATATAAATATGTAGGGCCCTTAAAATTTTGACATAGAAATGATTTTTGTACTATATCTCTTGTACCTTAAAAATTTTTGTTAACGTTTGGGGATAAATTTAATTTAATTATGTGATCAAAATAAAAAAAGTGAACGAAATTCTGTAACAAAAAAATTTTCTGTAAAAAAAGTTTCGGAAACTTTCACACAAAATTGTGGTGACAAAGAAAATTAAAAAAATGCAAAATGAAAAAAGTTTTTGCTTTTCCAAAGCTCGAATGCTTGATATTCCGAAAGTACATAAAATACAAAATCAAATAATATGTTGGTTTCAAGCCCTTTACTAGTCATCAAATTGCAAAAACTGTTCATTTGGAACCTCTATCTTTTTCGAAAGGGAAGTTATATGTACAAAGACCTGGGAAAGTAAAAATTTCGTGAAAATTCGTTAAAATCCCTATTTATTGGAAACCGTTCAATTTTAACAACAAGTTCCGAACAAAAATTTTACCCATTTTTGATGCCCTTAGCAATGATATATAATCTTTAGTGAATCTTTATTGAATCACTCTGTATAACTTGTTGATATTGTTGTTGTTGTTGCTACTATTCATGTTGTTCACGAGTAGCACGGAAAAGTACAAAGTCGCGCATGGCGGAGCCCGGCATACCATTGGAAGGCTTACTTAAGCTTCGCATATTAACGACTAAGCTTCCCGTTAGCCACTCAGTCCTCGGCATATGTTGTTATACCTCTACTTGGGACGCCTGTCATAAGCTGATGTCTAGATATCGGACTGAAATTTACAAAGCAAGGGGTTCGCCGCGAGACATGGACACGACACGAATGTACCTTTTAATCATTTTAGTCACCTTTCTATCCTTCTATTCTTTATATCTTATTTTCTTATTTATTTTAATAATAAGAAAATAAGATAACAATTATTACAAAAAAGTATATACGAGTATAAAAGTAAAATATATTTTTGGTTGTAATTTGATTGAATGTGTACAAATTGTTATTTATAAATAGAAAGGGAACAAATTTACACATCTTTTACGCACTAACTGAAATGAAATGATTTTGTAATTACATACGAGTATTTGCTCTTACTATCATCCCTGCAATGTGTGTGCTCACCTTTATTGATATAAATACAATTGTAAATAAAATTTCTCTGAAAATTCGCGACTTTATCTATAGTACCTGTAAATTGTGTATATCTTATTTTTTCGTCTCGCATTATTTTATTCTAAAAAATCGTCAAACGCTAAAACTCTGGCATTTACGAAAGTCAAAATTATGACGAATGTTAGAATTAACGATTTTGAAAATTTAAATTTAAAATTAAAGGCCTAGAGTTTTAAGAATTAATTTCACTGTTTAACATTTTTTTACAATTTTTTTTTAAGATTGAACTATTTTTGCTTTCTGATTTTATTAAATGAATAAGTTTCCCAAAACAGCATCAATCTTACGATCTATACGTCAAAATGATCTGCAAATAAAGCACAACTTATGTCAGCTGATGTTTTATAATTGTTTCCTTC